ATAAAATCCACCTGTGAACAGTAGTCAGTATATTATTGTAACTGATGGAGAAAAGAGAAAAATAAAAACAGGCTTACCTGTAGTAAAACGGCAGTCCGGACCAATTTCATCCAATGAATTCAAAACGTCATCGACCATTTCTCGTAATCTTCTATTTCGTAGTAAGTACTCGGCCACGTCTTCCCAATTATCTGCCATATTCGTTGACTTTTGATGCGTTCTTGATGCGTTCTCTGTGAAGTCTGTACACGAATGAAACTTTAACAGTAGTCGAGCCCTTTTTGTATGGTTTGTAGATGTGTTAATCATGTGTATTTTTAGACTTGTTTATCAAACTTATCCTCATCGGAATGTTTGATTTTAATATCTTTTGTAGTTGAAGCTTTATGCAGAAAATTAATTGTCTGGAACAAATATGTTGATTACGACAATACATTTCCGTAATTACATTTTAAACGAAAAGTGGTGTAACTAAATTCAAAACGCTTCTGGATTTATCTTTTTCTATATGGCTATAGTTACCAAGTTGAAAGATTTTGGTATTTTTTTGAGAATGCTAAGGGATATTTATTCATAAGAGCATGCGGTATAATTGGCGCTTTATCAGCGGTTTTAATGTAGGCATTTGACGAGTCGAGTCATTTTGTCCTTTGAACGTTGGTTTTTTTTAGCAATAATTGGATATATGAATTTACTTCCCGGGTAATTCAGTGCTTTTAATGTGTTGCGTTTCATGAGTCAAGAGCTTGCGATCCAATTGTCATAGGTTAAATTTCGAAACTTCACAAAATTAAATTTACAATGCTTATGCGATTTATACATGTCATCAACATTTGTAGGTGTTTCGCGTTTTTAGTGATTTTTATACATAATTATATTTCTTTACATATATATTAGTTATAGGCATTAACATTGCATTTGAAGCGCCTGTCATCGAAACATGCCCTGTTTGAACATGCTCTGTTAATTTATACGTTTCCCGAAATTAAAATGTCTCTGCTATACTTATTTGATATCGTTCATCATTGAGAAAATAGCTTGACTGCCTAGTTCAGTACTTTTAGCTCATTTTAAGGCCAAGGTTGGAAAAAAATAGTAAAAAGCTAATTTAACTATCCTGATATAATAAATAATTTAACTATCCTGAACAACATACTAAAAGTCCCCATGTATCCTGTTGGAGCTTTTTCATTATGACAAGGGTTTTTTCGATTTCCCTGTTACTCCCATATCGTTAAAAAACGTGAAATTTCAAGTTCACTCATAACAAAAATGACTCGCATCACTAGAAAGCTCATAAAAACTACATATAAGACATTTAAACAATCACCTAAATTTTTCAAGCGGTTTTCGAGTTATTGCTCTTCCAAATGTGAAAAATAGGCCAAAATCTGGCAAAAATCCTGGGTACTAGTCTGACAATACGTTTCCAACAGCTCATAACTCAAGAAGAACTTGCAAAATCAAGGTAGCCGTTTAAATGTCTTGGATATAGTTTTTTGTAAGTTTTCTAATCATATAACTTATTTTTCCTATAAGTGAATCTGAAAAATCACTTTTTTAACAATATACGAGGAGTTCACTAGGGAAATCGAACAAAAAACTTGTCATAATGGAGAAAGCTCCAAGAGGATACATGAGGACTTTTAGTATGTTATCAAGTTTGATGAAGAGTGCATACGCTAATTTTTGGCTTTTTACTAATTTTCTCTGACCTATTTTCTATTTTGATTGTACTATGCCGATTCGTTCAATTTCTGTTTATTGTATTTTATAAACAAGTTGTCTGAGTGTAATTAAACTATTTTTGTATTCCTTATAACAATAGACAGTTTATTCATGTAATTATTTGGCTAGATCGTTATATCTAATTCGAAGTTTCAAAGAAATTTCCGCTGGAGTAAATTTTGTTGATAATTAGTAGCTGTATTTTTCGCGAACGCTTGATTTCTATTTAGCATTCAAGCCACTTAACCGTTTTGTAAGATTATTAAGAAAGCAACAGACGCTTTGGGCAGTGAACTTCGAACACTTTATTTGTTATAATTCATAATATTAATATCATCTTCAAAATACATTGTCCTCAATTCAATCTAAAAATCTTTGTTGTTAAGGAATGCATTGTTATGGCATTTATCACTGGAAAAAAGTGAAACTCATGCTATGAAATTTGCGATTGCGTCACTAAATCCATACTATATCCATACAGTATGGAAATTTCCGTTTAAAACTGCTTCCAGCAAAATAAAAAAACTGCTGAAACTACGTTACCACAATTCAGAGCAGAATTCCTTTGCAATGTTAGTTATTACACTTAAATAATTCTTTAACATATGGTAATAAATTGAGGTTATTACAGATATCTTTGTAAAATAAGACAAGATAATTATAACGTATAGTATATAAACAATCTTCAAGTCACAATACACACTTTACAACTGACAAAGAAATGTCGAAATCTGCCATAAACTTTTTGTCCAAAATGAAGTATTCCGAATTAGAAAACAAACGCAGGTTTTATAAAAAATATTATAATTACTAAAGCGTATCCCCGCATATGCGTATGGATATTTGGAAGTGTTTAATCAAAATGGGTATCCTCATCTTTCTTCCATGAGTATAACTTTTCTTTATCTTCACCCCATAAATACAACCTTATTCCTAGCCCTATACATTATATAATGCACGAAAGATGAAGATATCACCTCAAAATTAGATTCTAAGAATTATAGGCCAAAAAAGAAGTAGGCTAAAGTTTATTGCCAATGCATATGATTTATATTATAAATTAATGACGCTATATTTCATGCAATAAAATAGCATTTTTATCTTGAGGGACAACAAGTCAAAACGCAATAGAAATTTTACAATAAAGGAATCAATCGAAATTTCGCAAATATTTTTCCAATATATGAAGTATTCCGAATTAGAAAACTACAGAGCTTAACCTGAAGTGCATGTAATTGTGTTGAGCTGATACCAAAGTAAGGTGTATGAATAAATATGTAGATTTTTGGCATCTCACAGACTCACTCGATTCAACACAATGTGGGATTTTGTACATGGAAATTGGCAATTCCAGGTTTTAATTTATGGGTGCAGGGGGTGACGGGAAGTAAGGTATCATGTTGCTGATTGTGCTGAAAAATTTCAATTTAAACTGCCGAAACAACCGAAATATTTCAATATTTACAAATATAAGCTATCACTGCCGCCATTTTTATTTGTTCAGCGTGATATTTAGCAATATGATACATTACTTCCCATCACCCCCTGCACACATAAACTAAAAGCTGGAATTGCCTATTTCGAGTGGAATTTTATACATTTTCAAAGGGCCTACTGCTGGTTAGGAAGGGTGCGATAAATCGCGTGGTTATTTCCTGATGTTTCGTGCACAATAGAGTTAGGATAGATTTGTGATTGGGCTCAAAATCAAAGAGAAGCATATTTGTGCACGAAACATGTGCATACATATAACCTTCATGTGCGCCTGACATGTTAAAACATGCAAGCAAACATGGAAACTATGCTATTGAGGCAGTTCAATAAACAATAAACTGGGCTCTTGCAAATGCGAAAAAAGCCTGCCAGAACTGAACTAGTTCGATCGTCATTTAAATTAAGGTTCATAACTTTTATTTCATCTCAGTAAACTACAAGAAGATGAAAAATTTATCATGCAGTTTAGAATGTAACAATCGCGCTATACATTTACAAAACAGTGCACTTTTTTGAAAAAGAGGTTCTGAGATTATGAACACAATGCATTTTTAATTTTGTATAAAAAAATGGCAGGTGAAAAATCACTTAAAATATTATATTTTACGGCCACGGACGTCTTTTGAAAGCTGATATTCGATTACGATGACATCGATTTTTCATTGGAATATCAATTATTATACTTAAACATCTGCTTTAAGGAGTGATACTAGATTACTTATTACATATACCTTAGCAAAATACAACAAGATATAATGTATAGTAATAAAATCGCAATAGAAATTTTACACCAAAAAATCAAACTAAATTTCCCAAACATTTTCCAATATCAAGTACTCCGAATTTGAAAACAGGTGACCAATCACTTGTTATAAAATATGTTATAATGTCTGGACTTGGTTCAAGTTCGTCTTTCAATGGGTTGAAAATAGCGTTACACGTGAGCTGTGAAAAATATGAGAGAAAATATGAGAGAAAATTAGACGGAGACGGACTTGGGATATTTGCAACGTTGACAACAACAAATTTTTAAGCCAATTTTTACAAGTTACATTCGAAATGCTGCAAATATCCCAAGTCGGTCTCTCCCTACATTTCTCCCGAGACGGACTTGAACCAAGTTTATAAAATGACTTGCATATAATATATTTTGGAAATCGAAATGGGTATCCTCATGTTTCTTGCACGAATGTATAATTTTTCTTTATCTTCACCTCACTCACAAACCTAGTCCTAACCCTATATCTTATTGTGCGCGAAACATGTCTTAGAGATCTTGTAGGGAACATATATAGACAGTGCTTAAAGGCAATGACTTATATTATCATAATGAATATTACGTTATTTGCAAAATATATATAACTAATTTACACATTTTAGTAAAGAACCTTGTCCTCAGAGTGAAGAACCTTGTCCTCAGAATGGAGGACCTTGCCCTCAGAATGAAGGACATTCCCTCAAAGTGAGGAACCTTGTACTCAGAGTGAGAAATCTTGTCCTCAGATTAAAGAACCTTGTCCTCAAAATGGAGAACCTTGTCCTCAGAGTGAGAACCATGTCCTCAGAATGAGGACCTTGTCGTCAGAGTGAGGAATCTTGTCCTCAGGGTGAATAACCTTGTCCTCAGACTGAAGAACCTTGTCCTCAGAGTGAAGCACCTCGTCCTCAGTGTGAGGAACCTTGTCCTCACAGTAAAGAACCTTGTCCTCAGAGTGAAGAACCTTGTCCTCAGAAAGAAGAACCTTGTCCTCAAAGAGAGGAACCTTGTCCTCATTGTGATGATCCTTGTCCTCAGAGAGAAGAACCTTGTCCTCAGAGTGAAGGAACTTGTCCTCGGAGTTAAGAACTTTGTCCTCGCAGTAAAGAACCTTGTCCTCAGAGTGAAGAGCGTTGTCCTCAGAATGAAGAACCTTGTCCTCAGAGTGAAGAACCTTGTCCTCAGGGTGAGAAACCTTGTCCTCACAGTGAAGAACCTTGTCTTCAGTTTCTGGAACCTTGTCCGCAGAGTGAAGAACCTTTTACTCAGAGTGGAGAACCTTGTCCTAAGAGTGAAGAAACTTGTCCTCAGTGTGAGGAACTTTGCCGTCAGAGTGAACAAACTTGTCCTCAGAGAAAACAACCTTGTCCTCAAAGTGAGGAATCTTGTCCTCAGAGTGAAGAACCTTGTCCTCAGTGTGAATAAACTTGTCCTCAGAGTGAAGAACCTTGTCCTCAGTGTGAAGAACCTTGCCCTCAGACTGAAGAGCCTTGTCCACAGAGTAAAGAACCTTGTCCTCAGAGTGAAGAACATTGTCCTCAGAAAGAAGAACCTTGTCCTCAAAGAGAGGAACCTTGTTCTCAGAGTGAGAAATCTCGTCCTCAGATTAAAGAACCTTGTCCTCAAAATGGAGAACATTGTCCTCAGAGTGAGGAACCTTGTCCTCAGAATGAAGAACCTTGTCCTCAGAGTGAAGAACGTTGTCCTCAGAGTGAGGAACCTTGTCGTCTAAGTGAAGAACTTTGTCCTCAGAGTAAGGAACCTTGTCCTCAGAGTGAAAAACCTTGTCCTTAGAGTGAAGAACCTTGTCCTCCGAGTAAAGAACTTTCTTTTCAGAATGAAGAACCTTCTCCTAAAAGTGAGGTACCTTGTCCTCAGATTGAGAAACGTTGTCCTCAGAATGAAGAACCTTGTCCTCAGAGTGAAGAAACTTGTCCTCAGAGTGAGGAACCTTGTCTTCAGAATGAAGAACCTTGTCCTCAGAGTGAAGAGCGTTGTCCTCAGAATGAAGAACCTTGTCCTCAGAGTGAAGAACCTTGTCCTCAGGGTGAGAAACCTTGTCCTCACAGTGAAGAACCTTGTCTTCAGTTTCTGGAACCTTGTCCGCAGAGTGAAGAACCTTTTACTCAGAGTGGAGAACCTTGTCCTAAGAGTGAAGAAACTTGTCCTCAGTGTGAGGAACTTTGCCCTCAGAGTGAAGAACCTTGTCCTCAGAGAAAACAACCTTGTCCTCAAAGTGAGGAATCTTGTCCTCAGAGTGAAGAACCTTGTCCTCAATGTGAATAAACTTGTCCTCAGAGTGAAGAACCTTGTCCTCAGTGTGAAGAACCTTGCCCTCAGACTGAAGAGCCTTGTCCACAGAGTAAAGAACCTTGTCCTCAGAGTGAAGAACATTGTTCTCAGAAAGAAGAACCTTGTCCTCAAAGAGAGGAACCTTGTTCTCAGAGTGAGAAATCTTGTCCTCAGATTAAAGAACCTTGTCCTCAAAATGGAGAACATTGTCCTCAGAGTGAGGAACCTTGTCCTCAGAATGAAGAACCTTGTCCTCAGAGTGAAGAACGTTGTCCTCAGAGTGAGGAACCTTGTCGTCTAAGTGAAGAACTTTGTCCTCAGAGTAAGGAACCTTGTCCTCAGAGTGAAAAACCTTGTCCTTAGAGTGAAGAACCTTGTCCTCCGAGTAAAGAACCTTCTTTTCAGAATGAAGAACCTTCTCCTAAAAGTGAGGTACCTTGACTTAAAATGAGAAACGTTGTCCTCAGAATGAAGAACCTTGTCCTCAGAGTGAAGAACCTTGTCCTCAGAGTGAGCAACCTTGTCTTCAGAATGGAGAACCTTGTCCTCAGAGCGAAAAACCATGTTCTCAAAGTGAGGAACCTTGTCCTCAGATTGACAAAACTTGTCGGAGAGTGAGGAACTTTGTCCTCAGTGTGAGGATCATTGTCCTCACAGTGAAGAACATTCTCCTCAGAGTGAGACACCTTGTCCTCAAGGATAGGAACCTTCTCCTCAAAGTGAGCAACCTTGTTCTCAGAGTGAAGAACCTTCTCCTCAGAGTGAGAAACCTTGTCCTCAGAGAGAAAAACCTTGTCCTCAGTGTGAAAAGCCTTGTCCTTAAAGTGAGGAACCTTGTCCTTAGAATGAAGAACCTTGTCGTCAGTGTGAGGAACCTTGCCCTCAGAGTGAACAAGTTTGTCCTCAGAGTGTGAAACCTTGTCCGGAGAGTGAGGAACCTTGTCCTCAGAGTGAGGATCATTCTCTTCACAGTGAAGAACATTCTCCTCAGAGTGAGAAACCTTGTCTTCAAAGATAGGAAACTTGTCCTCAAAGTGAGGAACCTTGTTCTCAGAGTATTCTATCACTACACGATTATAGTTCCTGCAATAAACAAATACCATTTTCATCTTGAGTGACAACAAAGCCCGACAAATTGTTTTGATAGTTCAGCTGTCTAGTTTCCGATTTCAGTACTTCAGATATTTTAATGTCAACATTTCTCGGAACGAGGCAAGGTACACCATCATCGTCCTTGCGTATGCTCATTCGCCGTATTTTATTGACCGTTTTATTTCTTTTAAGAAGTGCTTCTCTCCTTCGCCGATTTTGAAACCAATTCTGTGAAGAGAAAATACAAAAGATGATATATTAAGCCGCTGGGAAATTAAATGGCCGTCGCTATATAGGTCTGGCTGTTTTGATCTACAAATATAACCCTGACCCTAAAATAATTTAAACCTATAATAATATCCTAAAAATATCCTTTAATATCCCTCGGAAATTGCCGAACCTATAGCCACTTCGGAAATAAATCATAGATCCATGCATGCAGAGTATAAGTGTCTTTACTTTTTGTCGGTTATTCTTCTAGATTTAAATGCATTGAGATATCTTAAGGTTGAGAACTTACTTTGACGGTAACTTGCGACAGATTTAATTCTCTTGCCAGTTCTTTCTTCCTCTCCTGTGTAAGGTACTTTGTCATTTGGTACTCTTTGAGCAAGCGTTGCTTTTGTATCAGATCAGGTTTTGTAATTCCTCTCTTGTTTTTACTTCTCTTTTCATGTTTTCGATTCCCATCTATAAAGAAATTAGTCAAAAGGACATGTTTAACTATTTTGTTGCTACCAGTAAAGAAGACCACGTTTATCAGGCTCCGTTTAGTTGTCAATGATATATATATGGCGTTTTCAGAAAAATAACACTTAGGCTATATATTCAATGGACATGTGCAACAATTCGTTTAACGTACACCGTATTTACTCGCTTCGCTTTTTTAAATTTTAGCGTTGATAACTCGTTTTAACATAATAATAAAATCCATGCCTGTGAACAGTGGTCAGTATATTATTGTAACTGATGGAGAAAAGAGAAAAATAAAAACAGGCTTACCTGTAGTAAAACGGCAGTCCGGACCAATTTCATCCAATGAATTCAAAACGTCATCGACCATTTCTCGTAATCTTCTATTTCGTAGTAAGTACTCGGCCACGTCTTCCCAATTATCTGCCATATTCGTTGACTTTTGATGCGTTCTTGATGCGTTCTCTGTGAAGTCTGTACACGAATGAAACTTTAACAGTAGTCGAGCCCTTTTTGTATGGTTTGTAGATGTGTTAATTAATCATGTGTATTTTTAGACTTGTTTATCAAACTTATCCTCATCGGAATGTTTGATTTTAATATCTTTTGTAGTTGAAGCTTTATGCAGAAAATTAATTGTCTGGAACAAATATGTTGATTACGACAATACATTTTCGTAATTACATTTTAAACGAAAATTGGTGTAACTAAATTCAAAACGCTTCTGGATTTATCTTTTTCTATATGGCTATAGTTACCAAGTTGAAAGATTTTGGTATTTTTTTGAGAATGCTAAGGGATATTTATATATAAGAGCATGCGGTATAATTGGCGCTTTATCAGCGGGTTTAATGTAGGCATTTGACGAGTCGAGTCATTTTGTCCTTTGAACGTTGGTTTTTTTTAGCAATAATTGGATATATGAATTTACTTCCCGGGTAATTCAGTGCTTTTAATGTGTTGCGTTTCATGAGTCAAGAGCTTGCGATCCAATTGTCATAGGTTAAATTTCGAAACTTCACAAAATTAAATTTACAATGCTTATGCGATTTATACATGTCATCAACATTTGTAGGTATTTCGCGTTTTTAGTGATTTTTATACATATATTTCTTTACATATATTAGTTATAGGCATTAACATTCCATTTGAAGCGCCTGTCATCGAAACATGCCCTGTTTGGACATGCTCTGTTAATTTGTACGTTTCCCGAAATTAAGATGTCTCTGCTATACTTATTTGATATCGTTCATCACTGAAAAAATAGTTTGACTACCTAGTTCAGTACTTTTAGCTCATTTTAAGGCCAAGGTTGAAAAAAAATAGTAAAAGCTAGAAATTGTTAGATGCAATAATTTAACTATCCTGAACAATATACTAAAAGTCCCCATGTATCTTCTTGGAGATTTTTGCATTATGACAAGGTTTTTTTCGATTTCCCTATTACTCCCACATTGTTAAAAAACGTGAAATTTCAAGTTCACTCATAACAAAAATGACTCGCATCACTAGAAAGCTCATAAAAACTACATATAAGACATTTAAACAGTCACCTAAATTTTTCAAGCGGTTTTCGAGTTATTGCTCTTCCAAATGTGAAAAATAGGCCAAAATCTGGCAAAAATCCTGGGTACTAGTCTGACAATACGTTTCCAACAGCTCATAACTCAAGAAGAACTTGGAAAATCAAGGTAGCCGTTTAAATGTAGATTTTTGTAAGTTTTCTAATGATGTAACTTATTTTTCCTATAAATGAATCTGAAATTTCACTTTTTTAACAATATAGGAGTTCACTAGGGAAATCGAACAAAAAACTTGTCATAATGGAGAAAGCTCCAAGATGATACATGAGGACTTTTAGTATGTTTTCAAGGTTGATAAAGAGAGTGCATACGCTAATTTTTGGCTTTTTACTAATTATTTCCGACCTATATTTTCTATTTTGATTGTACTATGCCGATTCGTTCAATTTCTGTTTATTGTATTTTATAAACAAGTTGTCTGAGTGTAATTAAACTATTTTTGTATTCCTTATAACAATAGACAGTTTATTCATATAATTATTAGGCTAGATCGTAATATCAAATTGGAAGTTTCAAAGAAATTTCCGCTGGAGTAAATTTTGTTGATATAGTATAGCTGTATTTTTCGCGAACGCTTGATTTCTATTTAGCATTCAAGCCACTTAACCGTTTTGTAAGATTATTAAGAAAGCAACAGACGCTTTGGGCAGTGAACTTCGAACACTTTATTTGTTATAATTCATAATATTAATATCATCTTCAAAATACATTGTCCTTAATTCAATCTAAAAATCTTTGTTGTTAAGATGGCATTAATTCATGCTATGAAATTTTCGATTGCGCCACTAAATCCATGATACTATATCCATACAGTATGGAAATTTCCGTTTAAAACTGCTTCCAGCAAAGTAAAAATACGGCTGAAACTACGTTACCACAATTCAGAACAGAATTCCTCTGGAATGTTAGTTATTACACTTAAATAATTTTTTAACTTTTGGTAATAAATTGAAGTTATTTCAGATAACTTTGTAAAATAAGACAAGATAATTATAACGTATAGTATATAAACAATCTTCAAGTCACAATACACACTTTACAACTGACAAAGAAATGTCGAAATCTTCCATAAACGTTTTGTCCAAAATGAAGTATTCCGAATTAGAAAACCAAGGCAGGTTTTATAAAAAAATATAATTACTAAAGCGTATCCCCGGATATGCGTATGCATATTTGATAGTGTTTAATCAAAATGGGTATCCTCATCTTTCTTCCATGAGTATAATTTTTCTTTATCTTCACCCCGTAGATACAATCTTATTCCTAACCCTATAGATTATATAATGCACGAAACATGAAGATATCACCTCAAAATTAGATTCTAAGAATTAAGCCCCGTTTACACTACGCTCAATTTTTGGTACGGCACGGGTAAAATTGGTACCCGTACCACTTTTTTGGTTCTTGGACTACCTAAACAGGTAGTCCAAGAACCAAAAAGTGGTACGGTACCAAAAATTGAGCGTAGTGTAAACAGGGCTTAGCTAAATAGGTAGTCCAAGAACCAAAAAAGTGGTACGGGTACCAATTTTATCCGTGCCGTACCAAAAATTGAGTGTAGTGTAAACGGGGCT